TAAATTATAAATAAAAGACATGCTTCTGTTTTTTATTACTTCATTAATTTCACTTAATCTTCAAAAATATCGAAGAAAAAAGGGAACAAGACCTGGCATGTCACTTGTCACACTAAATAAAATAAGATAAGATAAGATTAATGGAAAAATCAAATAATAAAAACCTTATAAATATAAAAAAAAAATTTGTACTCGTATCTTTGATGAATTAAAAGTAATGAAAAATAATATCATGAAAACATCATAAATATCATATATCTCATTTTGCATACCATGAGAAGTAAAAACCGACCTCTCTTTTTTCCCCCCCCCCCTTTTTTAGGTTAGCTTAACTTGATAGAAGAAATATAAATATTATTTTAAAATGATCAACTAATTAGCACACAGCAAATGAGATCCTCAAAGTGTATTATATGGTCAGTGTGAGTGATGTATCAGAAGCTTACCTGCAATAAAACAAGGCTTTTGAAGAAGTACCTCATAGTGTGGTTCAAAGCGATATCTCTCCTGCACAGACGGAAGGGAAGAAAATTGAAAATGTTAAAAACAGAATGTTGAAGTAATAATTTAATTTAATATTGGAATAATGCTTCCATGTAGAGAGAACTTACCCGTCAAGAAAGAAGCCAGCATCACTCAAGCATTTAACACTAGCATTCCTTGGCAAATAACTGGCGAATCTGTCACAGTGATGAAATGTCGCTAAACTCCTGCCGAACAACCTGAAAGCAAAGCCTACACAAGCAGATATATTTGGTAAGTCACGAGCATAAACAAAATAGTATCATTTGATTCTTGATATAAAATCTAATTATTTAATTTGACTAGATTAAGAAATTTAGTTTAATTAATATGTATATTTTTGAAAACACTCTGATCATCTTCCTTAATTCCTTTTTTCTTTTCATGCTTGCTTATCAATGGAGTTGATTTGAAAAAAAAAATTGAAAAATATAAAATAAATCTTACATATAGAACTAACATCTACTTTCAAAATGGGTTTTACGTTAAGATCAGAGAAATAATTTATTCTTCATATATCTTACTAATTCAGAAAAACTTGTGCAGTAGTATATTTTAGAATATATGTTGGAAAACCAAATCTAAAACTTTGCGATCCTCCCCCACAAAAGAAAACGCTTTTTTCCAATACCATCCTAATGACAACATTTTGGGGTCCAATTAAAGGAAAGCTTTTTTGGCCCAAAAAAAATTAAAGGAAAGCTTTTGAGCATTAAAATATGGTAGATGCGTTGTTGAAGAAATGTGCGGAAAGTGAAGAGTAGACAGAGTATATATACCTTGCGTGCCTTGCCCAAACCTTTAGGCAGGAGGTCGCGAATGATTGCTTCCCAAATCTTTTGTCCTTTGAAATAAAGCATGTTGTCTGGGGTTCATTTCACATGCATGCACCAAAAGTCATTACATCTTGTCTTAGAGCTTTCATAATTTGACGCAGAAACTAATTAAATAGTCCATCACTTTCAATTTATAAAACATTTTTTAGAAAATTTATAAAAACCAATGAACCTCGTTAAATATAGTTAGGGGTCTTAATTTAAAACAAAATATGTAGAAAATTCTAAAAAATGCCTTTCATTTAACGCTAACCACTAATCAACTCATATAAGTAATGAAGGATATGTTGAAAATAAGGTGATTAATAAATCATTATTTGTCCAAAATATTTTATGTTGTGAAACATAAACCATTCCAAGAAAAAAATCTAAATAAAATAAATCTTAATTTAGGACCGGAGGAGTAATAAATTTGAAAGGGAGAGAATTATGACAAGGAAGGAAGGGGAAAGAGACAATTACCCCGTTGTTGAACAAGGGCATCTCCCGTGAAAGAGCCTCCATCACAATATCGAATCTTAACACGGTTCCAATTGTAGAAATCTGTGCACACCCAAATTCAAGACAGAAAAACTTCCTAAATGCCTTAGAAAAGTTATGTGATAATGATACCATAAGATCAAATTTAAGTATCATCAGGCTTAAATAATAACATTTCGAACATGACCCTTTTGCCTCACAAACTTAACCCCCCATCTCACTTTGGTGATCTAATTCTTTCCACTTGATGTAAGTATAGTTGTTTTATATACACGTTCTTTATAGCATAGTTGATTTAATTAAGAAATTAAGAAATTATACATATAAAGACCACACACTTATTTGTACTGTTATAAAAGAAACTCGGCATATACAAGATGTTTTAATTGAAATTTTATATATTTTGCATTTAATAGCCCAGAAGAACCAACAAAGAGAGGAGCAGTAGGGACAGGACAAGAGAAACAAACAAGGGCGGAGGGCTTTTTGCAGGAGGAAACACACAGCTACGTGGATCTCCTAGAGGAGCCCGTGAAAGGACACGTGGATGGGGGCAGTTGCCGGGGAACTTCAACACGGAAAACAAAATTTTAACCCCGTCAATGTGAACGCAGAATCAGGGATATCACTTTTTGTTTATCTATCATGGATCCGTGATCGTTCTTTCTTGTGTTTTGTAGTTATTGAAAAAGAACATCAAGAAAGTTGTGCTTGTTTTGATTAATTACATTCGTGTTATCAAATTAAATTCTTCAATTGATATACTACATCCGGTTTTTAATAAGACTCTGTTTGATTTTTATTTTGGTTCTGAATATAAGACCTCAATCCATTTTGTTCTCATATTTATACATTTTTTTTCAAAGTAACCCTTCTAGCAATAATAATTCTAGTCAATACACTTGATTAGTAAAGATATTTTAAGAAAGACAATACCTATTTAGGACAAATAACTAACTCAACTTACTTTTTTAATCTCCTCAAATTAATTAACTGACTCTCATAATTAGGATCGGAAGTAGTATAATATAGACGCATTTTAGTTCAATTCGTGCTTCGTTCTTTTTTCTAACTTTTATTGTCTCTTAAAGCAGCCTTATGCCTCTCTCAAAAGCCCTTTTAAGGTCAATTCTCTCGGAAAGCTTTTTAAGTGGTGACGGATCTCTGTTATCCCTACAACACGAGAGTCGTCGCATGAATTTCGAGGTAAGAAATTACATCTTATTTCTTTTACACTAATAATCTCAATTATTTTAATAAACTGTTAAATTAAAAATGAATTCACATTTTTAGTAAGAAAATAAACTAGAAGTGTGCGTACCCGGGTTCAGGGAGGCATTGTTGCTTAAGATGCCAGAGAAGACCTCCAACTTGGTCATGTAGCGAGTTGAACCCCGGCGAGTCTTTGCTCTCTCTGCGCATGATTCCACGTCATTGCACCACCCACCCCTCCCTGGCATGCACCATAAATTGACCATCGTCACTGTCAAAGATTATTCAATGCACAGCATTTTGTCCTACCTTACAATCTTTTTCCCCTTACGGCCAAACAGAAATACATACTCATATATAGAGGAGTATATTAAAAAGAGAATAATGCAATAAATGTAGATTCTCACAACTAAATTTACCCAAATTTATCCTGTATATCACTTTTTTTTGTATAAATGTGTTGCAAATGCAAGGCCTCTATTAATGTGCAAAATAAAAAGAAATAATAAAGGCAAAATAATTATAATATTATAATACATTTTAATTAGAGGGGTAAAATAATTTTTCTTTATATTATTAATAGAAACGTGCCTAAATATTCTGGACTGGTCCTATCCACATTTGTTTTCTTCAAGTAGAATCAATGACCCACAAGACCAAACTAAATGTATCTGAATATATATGATATAATGTCCCTTCTGTCACCACATTTCATCATTTGGTGTCTTCAATTTGCTTCTATTTAAAGCTTGGCATGAATAGACCTCATTCTCCATCGCCACACTTCATTGGTCCATCTATCCTTGTTCTATCTTCAAGCGCACGTTACGTTAAAGTGGTACGCAATGAAAAATGACAAGACGAAAGTTCCGAATGATCATAATAAACTAAATTAAGAGATTTTTTTAGCTAATTTTTTATGCAGAAGTGCAATTTTAGATTAAAAACATATTTGAAATATCCGTTTATTATTTTAAAAACGAAAAGGCATGTGATTATCAATATAAATATAATCTAGAAGAAGCTATACTCCTGCCTGTAATTAGTAGTTAGGTTAATTTGTCGTCGGGAATCTTGGTTAGTTAAAGAGAGGACACGGTGGCGTCACATGTTGCCAGTTTGTACTTCTAGTTTTATGTAAGATGACTGATGGACTGAATAATTTAACCCTATAAAGTGCACCCGTGCCTTAAAAAAACTTAAATTCGAAAATTTTATTATACTACCTTCGGTTCTTCATATAAAATTTTTTTTAATTTTTATTTTGATTTTAAATATAAAATTTTCATTTACTTTTTTTTTTCATATTTATGTATTTTTTTCCACATAGTCCTTTTAATAATAATAGTTCTAACCAATATTTTGATTAGTAAGAATATTTTAAGAAAAAAATATATTTATTACAAATAACTAACTTAACTTTTTTTTTCCTCAAATTAATCAACTAGCTCTTATAAATAGGATGGAGGTAATATTATTTTCTACATAATGTTAACAAATAACACATCCGTGGCAGCATTAGAAAGAAGGTCATTACCACCATACAAGAAATTATGATGAGTTGAGAATGGACCAAAATTGTGCTTTTTTTTTAATAACAAAATTAACATTATGCGGAATATAAAATATATGAATTTGCGCTTATGTTTTTAGACGTCAATTAAAATAGAGAACCCATATCTAATTTGATATGCCGAGGAACTTAGGTTATCAAACATCCTTTGGTGATTTGACGTGGGGATCAATTGTAGGCATATGGAACAAATTAAAGGTCAAGCATTCCAACATTAAATATGTTTACTATTTTTTTTAAACCAAAATAAATGAAGAAAATTACGACTCAACGACCCAACCAATTAAAAGTGGCCACGTCATCAGGATTTGGGTCGGCCGCGCGGAAATGAAACACCAAATTCCATTAATGAAAATAGTGCGCGCGCTAACCTCCAGATAGACGACATAAAAGTATTGTCGTATGGAATTTCGAAACCAACCAATCATCATTCTTCGCCCCAAAAATTAAAGACACCGCCGTTACTTTTTCGCGCAAGAGGGAACGCTAAGGCGCCAATAATTCCTTCCCCACTCCTCCCTCCGACGCCAAACTGTTACTCCTATTAATTTCGCCGCAATTTAGCTTATAGGATAGTATGAATATCTGTGGGGCTAGTATGTTCAATTTTTATAAAAAATTCTAACTTAATTCATTTAAATATTCTAATCTTACAAATTTGTAAATTCAATATTATTTCCAAAGATGCGATCAACTAGTGTGATTTGTTTGTTTTTCTCGTTAACTTAAACTGTGTGACCTGTTAAAAATTTGTTACAACATCTCCTACATTTTCTCATAAGTTGGTGCTAATAATATATTTATTAATATAATCTAAATTATATAAAAAAGGAAGGAAAAAAGGGGAATTTTTTTGGCCTGAGACCAAAAAAAAAAAACAGAGAGAGAAAACTTCGGCGTACCTCGAATTGTAAAAGCCAGTTGTTGGCTCCGGCGCCGAAGCCTCTGTGAAAATGATACGCCGGTAAACTCCCATCCAAACAAACTACAAATTTCATTTTAAAACAAATAATCAGTGTATGTTGATTCATATCATAAAATTAAATTTCAGGAGTTAAATAAATTTAAAACAAACGGGTTCAGAGCTTACCAGCACCAAGAGCTCGGGCGCTTCGAACCATAGTCATATTCACCAGAAGCCTCTCTTCCGAGAGTACGCCCCACGGCGCAAATGCAAGAAAAGCAAACAATGCCAAAACGACGACGGATTCCATTTCCGAAATCAGTATTCCCTGGAATCGCGAGTCTTTCGGGAATGAGAGAAAGTGAAGGAAAAGTGAGAGCTCCGTTTTTTCAGAATTGGTATACAAAGATGGAAAAGAAGAGATCCTCCTGAACTAAACTTGAACAAATGTTTAGCCGGCTTATTGGTTGCGAAACGGATAGAATTCAATTCCGATAAGGAATCAATGATGTCGCCATCGGATAACAGCGAAGGGAGAGTCTATGGTTATCTGAAGGAGCGAGACGAAAGATTCCGCGAAGTTCCGAGGAAACTTTGAGGGAAACGGAATCAGAGTAGGATCCGGGTTATTCCACCGTCGCGTGAAGAAGAAAAAGAGAAAGGTGATGGGGGAGGGAATGAGGGAACGTGAAGAAAATTAAGGAGCTCGTTGTCGTATTGAGAAGAAGGGGCCGGAGAGAGAAGAGAAATTTAAATAGGAGAAAACAGATCAGAAAGAGATAGACGGAAGCTTTGGGTTAGTTCATCAAAATTTTTGGTGGACTTGTTCCTCACTGATGACCCGAAAAATCCTTTGTGGTAGATTTTCAAAGGATAGTTTTTGAAAATTCACGCGTCGTTTCCGCCTCTCTACAGTATTCAGTGTTAAACAGAAAAATCCATGACAGCCACTCCTACCCTTTTAACACTGATTCTAGTCAATAATTTCGAGATTCTCTGTATATTTAAAGAAAACAAAGATAGAGGGAAAAAAGATGAATGACCAAAAGTAATACTACTATACGATAGTGTTATTTGTAATTCATTTGCTTTAAAGTATAAACGCAATCCCATATCTGAAATTCCAGGCTAAAAATCACGCTTTTATAATTACATTTTGCAAGTGTCACAGAAAAAAAATTAAAAAATGGTGGAATATTGCAGTTAGAGATTGCATTATAACTAAAATTGGAAGCTAGCTAACACAAAGACATGTCCTGTTGCTTCCTGACCAGACCAAGCCTAGCTAGCGGGAAGGTTATATTTGGTGAGGTGCTGAATAATTAAGGTTTTTTCGTTTGACTTTATTTTCTAGTTAGAGATTAGAGATTCCCAGCTAATAATTGTCGATTCCGTTAAAATGTAGATGAGGTTTTTTTTTAAAAAAATTATGCGAGTCTTAATAATGTTTTTGAAGTTAGGTGGATACTGAACTTCCAAGGCAACTTAAAGGTGCATTCATGATTGCATTAAAAAAGAAAAAAGAAAGATGAATTGATGAATTGATAAGTTACAAACGTACTATTTCTGAGCTAGCTTAGGGAAAAAAACACCTAATAACGGTGAGAACTGAATTCCCAATCTTTGATATCAAATATAATATCTTAATTATTTGTTTCTCATTTTTTAACCTAAATTAACTGAATACATAATCCAATGTTGTGCAAAAATATATTAACAAGATTATGTCACATTTATTATAAATAACTAATTTTTTGGCTTCTTTGATCTATTGAAATTAACAAAGTAGTTGGCGAAAAAACAAAATAAAGGAGAGACTCGGAAGGAAGGAAGGAAGGAAGGTGTGTTTGGTCTGTGAGTGGAGCCTATGCGTGGATAGGGCACTTGACGAGTGGTAAGGGATTAGGCTTGATTTAGGCGGTTAACCACTGAGTCACTGACTGATGATGCAGACGAAGACTTTGAAAAGAGAACGAAGTGCAAGGTGGTGTTGGCCTGTCAGGCTCAGATAAGCATGGGCGAGGGAGAGAGAGAATTTGGGGGTTGTGGAAGAAACGTAGCCATGGGGATAGTAGGTCCATTTGGTTGCCCGACTTGCTCGTGACTGCTGGCTTCTTCCAACTCTCCATGTTCTTTTCACATCCAGTATTATCACATTACATTTATATTTATCCGTTCTAAATATAAAATATATTTTGTAGTATAAACCGGATGAATAGGAATATAATAAATATAAAACATATTTTATAGTGTAAACCGGACGAATATAAATATAAGACTTATTAAATAGGTTTATGTTTAAAACGAATGAGTATATTGTTTGTTTAATTATAAGCATCTCTCTTGAAATCTTTTTTTTTTCCTCATACAGCTTATTTTAAAAGAATTAAGTGTCATTTTTTGCTCGACTTATTAGTTACTCTTTTCCAGTAAGCTTATTTAATTATATATCATTCCATCGATCCTTTTTTTATAAATGGAAAAATTATAAAAATCTCATAAAAAATTACAAAGACTTAATTAAAAATTAGTTGGATTATTTTTCTTGCCCAAGCTGGTTATGATTGGGAACTATCAAATATGTCATGCTTACCTCCAAAAACGATGTACACGTCGTGAGGGTTGATGGGAAGTGGGAACTGCGCCGTGGTGCAAGAGACGCAATCTAGACCCCATGTGAGAATACACTTAAAAGATGCTTGGATGAAAACTAAACTATAATTTAAAATGATTTTACAATATACAAAATAAATATATAAAAGAGTTTGTTTTGATTTTAAAAAAATATTTTTAAAAAGTATTTTGCACACGTCCAAACACCTACTAAAACATATGTGGAGGGAGAAGTCGAAAAACCACGGGAACGGAAAAAAGATCAATGGGCGACGAGAGTCCATGTTAAGGCTATCAGCTTTTACAAATCACTTTCCTCCAAATTATTCTTCAATGAACATGATCCTGTTTCAGATCCAATCAATAATACTCGGCGGAATGGATTTTGGTGGAAAATGTTACTCAAGAGCTATTTATAACACCAGGAAACTTGTTCATTCTATTGATGGTTGAATTTATAAGACCTTCTAAAAGAGAAAAATGTCGAGTGTGAATGAATATTGGGACGTAAATTCAGTCCTTATCGGAGAGTTTAAGGAAGAAAATAAAACATAAGACCACGATGGCCATGTTTGGCGACAGCTTGATGGAGATGGTATTATATGGGGGGAACAGGGAACAGGGGAGAGGAGTGACATTGGGGAGATGAAGAGGACATAAATTAATGAGATAAAGGGAAGAAAATGAGAAGAATTACAATCAAGTCCTAAAAAAATTAATTATTAAAAAGTCTTAATAATAATTTATAAGGCTTATTTTGTAATTATATTTTTTTAGGACTTTATTTTAATTTTTCTAAGAAAATAATGTGGGGACAAAAACAGGGCCCTGAATGGCAATGACAAGCCTGCCTTACCAAATTATCAAGTCGGCAATCTGAATGGTCCCGTCGGCCATGAACATCCCCAGTTCATCATGTGGGCTAATTTTCCTGCTTATAACTCCATACCCAATTGGCCCTCCTGAAAAAGGACAAAACGTTTGTAATTGTCCATTTTTGTGTGATAAAATTCCCTTTGTTTTTTTAACTTCACAGTAACAGGGCCATAGAATCAGATAAAGATTGGGCCCAAATTAGATTCACTGGCGTTAATTTTGAAACCCTGGTTGGAAATGGTCCCAACTCCCTGGTGATTCTAAGAGGCATTGATTCTGGGCTTTGGAGGCTGCCTCTTGCTTTGGACACATTCTTGGCCCAAAATCCACTGATTCTCCGAAACCAAATCACATCATCATCAAAAAGACTATAAAAAAAAACCACAGTTTATATCGTACCTTTTTTTAAAAAAAATTATTTACAAGTCAGATGGCACGTATATTTTTTGTCCTGTTTATTTACAAGTTATCTTATAAAAACTGTCATATAAATGTACAACTTTATTAAAAAACTGCATTAAATATTACTGTTAACAGTGCCTTGAAAAGAAGTTAAATATTAGAAGTTTAAGAATGGCCACATGGCTTAAGGTCAAAATGAGATAATCTATTAAGCATTAGGCGATATTGAGTACATCACATTAATAAGTGTTCAAATAAGTGGTTTTGTATTGGGAAAAAAGGGATTTTTATTTCTAGAAAAATTGATCTACACATATTTTTTGTCTTAATTTTTAATTTGACACTTTTACTGTTTTTTAATTAAATATTTTAATTTTATTTTGTTAATACTGTTAATTCTTGTATAAGGACTAACAAATAAAGATTACAGATGTTAACAGTGCAACTAAAGTAAAGTTGAAGTATTTAATTGAAAAAAATGCAAACTTCAAGTTTAAAATTAAAATAATATAAATAAATGCATTATTGTTTTTCTTTTACTTTTTACTAGCTTTTGTGTGTGTGTATATGTTTCGAATTTTGATGATTAAAACGTGTTAAAAAAATAATTGTTCTATTTAAAATAATATCAACATTACAATAATTCTGATGCTTTGTTGAGGACAATTAAATTTAAATTAGATAATGAACCGAGGCATTATTTTTATGTCAGTAAATTCTATTTCTCACAGATCTTGAGTGTGGGATACTTCTTAAAAAAATATTAAGAAATCAAAATTAAAACAACTCGAGATCGAAAATGAAAATATCACCAATTGGAAAGCAAGTTGGGGGCCGGACGGGAAAATCCGACGAGTTACTTTGCTTCTCCATATGTTATGCTGTTCGAGAAAAGGTCATCGTTGAGCACATAGAAAGTGAAATAGGTCTCTGAAGCTCTGCAGAAGTCCAAGGTCTGTCATTCCGAAAACTCGTCATCCATGATTGTGGATAACCTTAATTTTCTTAAATTTTGGTTCTTTTTCCGTCCGGATCATAGCTTGATTAATGGGGCATGGTGGGTTTTGACCGAATTTTGGAGGCTTCCTCTCTGATTTGAAAATTTCAACTTTTAGGTTGTTCTGGGTTCTTTTGCTAGTCTTGGTTGTTCCAGTTAACAGATGCTGTCATTAGCAAGAGAAGATAATTGTCATTTTGAGTATCATGCTCTTTGGTTGCTTTGTAGTCTCACGAGAGAACAAAGATCGCCGAACATCGATTAAATTACGTAGATGGAAAATAAAACTTTTTCATAAGCTTGTTCTTGGGTTTGTTCAAGCGTCATATGCTTGTTGATTTTGGCTAGGTTGGGTCCTGAAATGAATGCTTTTACTCCTGTTCCTTTTTTTCCCTTTTAATTTGAGAATTTGTGCTTGACAACCCATGGAAGCTTAAAACTTGCAGGCTTGATGTTATTGTGGGATCGATTGCTTTCGTTTTATAATTTCTTGTCTGCGACTGCTTGCCTGGAAAAAGTTACTCTGAGAAGTTTACTTAAATTTCGACCATGTCTTTTTCAATTGGTCATATGTGCATGTTTTCTCGGAAAATTTATAGAACTGGTCACGGGCATGTCTAACTTGCATATTGGCAATCTACTAGTATTTCTAGAGTGAAGAACATGGGTAACAACTCTTTTCATCGATGATAGTATTCCTTTAAGGCTTTTCGGGAAAACAGTAACAACCCTATTTATGGGACTATCGATTGGTTTTGTTTTTCTGCGTTTCAGCATCTGCATTTTCATGTAAAGTAATACAGTAATGGACGCATGAGAAGCTTTCTATCACAACGCCTTGACAATCCCTCCTTTTAACTCCGCTGACATGCCTTTAGCCTCCACTTTTTTCTGGAAAAATATGAGAAGTCTCTGTTCCAGTTTGGTTATCTAGGCCACCTTCTACTTTTAAGTGACCAGTTTTCCTGTTAAAATGTTTACATGCGCTTACAATCTTCTTTTGATGTCTGCAGGTTGCATGGTTTTCTCTGTTCTGAAGTTTGGCAAAACTATGCAACTTTGGCTGCTAATTAATAAGAATTAGAATTGTTCTTCTATGCATGAGAGCGGATTTTAATATATTTTGTCCCTGGTAAGATGGAATCCCTTTGGAAACTTCTATACTTGCTGGAGCCTGCTCCTGTCACTCTTATCATTACAGCTGTAGCAGTGACATTTGGCTCCGCATTCCGAGCTTTAAACTATGGTAAAGAAATGGAGCGTAACCGTGACATGTCAGAAGCATCCATTACACTGGATAGGTCTCAAGCGTTAATGATCCCAGTGATGAGCTCTTTCAGCCTGCTTTTGATGTTCTACTTGTTCTCATCCGTCTCCCAGCTTCTCACAGCATTCACAGCCATTGCTTCTGCGTCATCACTTTTCTTCTGTCTGTCTCCATGTGTTGTCCACTTGAAGGCGCAGTATGGATTGGCTGACCCATTTGTTTCACGCTGTTGCTCAAAATCATTTACTCGACTCCAAGGACTTCTGTTGTTGTCATGCATTGGAACAGTGGTGGCTTGGCTTGTTTCAGGTCATTGGATATTGAACAATATACTAGGCATATCTATATGTATTGCATTTGTAAGCCATGTGCGTCTTCCAAACATCAAAATATGTGCAATGCTCCTTCTTTGTCTATTTGTATATGACATTTTCTGGGTTTTCTTCTCTGAAAGATTTTTTGGGGCAAATGTCATGGTGTCAGTGGCAACACAACAAGCATCGAATCCTGTTCACACTGTTGCTAATAGTTTAAGTCTTCCTGGTTTGCAACTGATAACAAAGAAATTGGAGCTGCCTGTGAAGATTGTTTTCCCAAGAAATTTATTGGGTGGAGTACTCCCAGGGGAGAATGCAACTGACTTCATGATGCTTGGTTTGGGAGACATGGTATGGCATCATTATTCTGTTGAGTGGTATCATTGCTAGTTCTTAACTGTTTCCATCCATGGAAGATCCGTGCTATCATAAATAAATAGTACTCCTCTGGCTCTTGATGTTGGAACTATTTAACTAATTTGATTAGATTAAGGAAGTTAGGTAAGTTCATTAATTGTAAAAAATATAACATGTTTTTCCTAAAATATCATAATCATCTTCTTTAATATTTTCCCTTCCTCTCTTACTTGATCATGGTTGACAGAGTATCAATAGGGATAATTTAGGAAAAATTGATAAATATAAAAAATAGGTCTTACTCAACTCAACAATTAGGTTCTATATCAAGGACTAGAGGAGTATATACCATATTTCATTGGGTTTATAGCATGCAGAGTCATTGAGAACCATGTTAGGGTACTGCAATGGTGATCCTCTGTTCCTTTGTTCCTTTGATTGCTAACTAATGCTTGTAGGAGCAGGGTGAGATCGAACCTGCGATCAGTCACTTCTAGGGGTGAAGTCGATGCCTCTAAGCCAACAAGGCTATGGTGCCCTTACCTTTGATTGTTCATTTTTTATGACTTACCAGTTGTGTTAGAACTGATAACCTGGTCCGTTGGTTTTCTGTGGGATCATACCCTCACATTTTTTATGCGGGTTGCACTTGCAATTACTTATTGCTCTGTATCCTTTTAAGGGTAAACCTTGGCCATTTCATGTTGGGATCTGAATTTTTTTTTTTTTTTAAGTTGTGCCTCAGGTGGTTTTCTTAGGAAAGGTCAACTGGTCTATGTACTCAGATTTAAATCAAGTGCACACCAAGCCCTGAGGCATAGCAATATAATTACATAGTGCTTTTATGCTAAGCTTGGGGTGCATGCAATCAGGAAATGAGGTAGGAACCTCACTTGAAGGCTTAGGGTGTGTTTGGATTAGTGGTGGAGAAGTAACTTTTTTTTCAATCTGATTTTTACAGAAGTCAGATTGGATAAAAGCAACTTCTTTGAGCTTATTGTATAAGTCCGTTTCAGTGACAGAAGTCAAATTGCAAAAATGTGATTCCAAACACATCCCAAATCAAAAAAGCTTCTTTTGCCGGTAGAGAAGTCAGTTTGAAGGTTTAGATGTGATTCCAAACACACCCTTAGGCTCATAAGGCTCATGTCTTGAGGATTGCTTCAAGTTTCACTGAAAATTTTCTGTAAAGGACAATTTCCCCCCTCTTACTGGGAAAGAGCGGATTGAATGAGCTGAACTTTTTTTAATTAACATGCATAAATATGCTTGGAACGCATAACTTTTGGCTATGGTGTGTACATGCTATTCTATGGTTTTACCATAGAATCCATGGTGCTTTATTTTGAATACTTTGATAGGATCAATCAAAATCATGCTTTGGGGGGGTTTTTTTAGGAAAGCAAACTTGAAAATCTCGGAATTCGATTTGGGTCACATATCACTGAGAATTCTCCTTGTAGTTTTGACCGACGTTATAAAATTTTTTATGATATGATGCCCATTTTTGCCTAATCATCATTTCAGACTTCTGATTTAGTTAAACACCCTGGTTAAAATAACTTCATAATATTCATGATCATATGATTCGTGTTATTGCAGGCTATCCCATCAATGCTTCTGGCATTGGTGCTCTGCTTTGATCATCGAAAAAGCAACAACACAGTAAATCTTTTTGAGTTATATTCTTCAAAGGGACAAAAATACATATGGTATGCGCTACCTGGTTATGCAATTGGTCTGGTAACAGCTTTGGCTGCCGGTGTCTTAACTCACTCTCCTCAACCTGCTCTGCTCTATCTGGTACTTCTGTTTTTGCTATTTTTTTCCTGTCATCTTACTACTCAGTCTTGCGTCCATCTCTTCATTAATGAATTTAAAAGTTATCCAGTATCCCCCCGGGGGGGGGGGGACCCCAGCACGAATTGGTTTTATGAACTCAAGTGATGTATTCTAATAATGGTAAAAACGTGATATTCATATGCACGGGTATCATCAAGACTGGTTTGCCAGCACTATTTTATCTGATATGTTAAGCAATTTCTTGTTGCTGTCTGGCTGTCTTGCATTTTCTATTTTTCTTATGAAATCAATTTGATTGACCCCCTTAATCTAAGCTATCCCTTCTGGTTTCCCTTATTATTCATTTGTCAGCCTCGATGGTTATCATTCTCCCCATGTGCCACCGTTCATAGGGCAAAAGAGGGGAGAGCAAACGTGACTGGGATGAAAACTGATTATGATTCTAGACATGATGCATATATGTATACGTGTTTCTTTTTGGATTAATCATATATTTCTACTTTTCATTTACTCTTCTCCTGCCCTCCTTAAAAAAAAAAAAAATCTAAAGGCTATTATGTTGGTATATTTAGCGCCGATAGCCTGAGCCATGACCGGTATTTTGGCATTGGCATGATATATAAATTAGATAGACTAAAGGTTATCACCCGCCATTGAGGCTGTATTAGACTGTTTCACCTTCTTTTGACTTGGTTGGTTGTTCAATATGGCAAATGCAGGTGCCTTCTACTTTGGGGCCTGTGATTTTCGTCTCCTGGTTAAGGAAGGAATTGATGGAATTGTGGGAAGGAAGCGTGCCAATTATTGGCGATAAAGCTCGCCAAATAGAAGTTTAATAATTTACCTTGGAGGCCAAAGGCAAACGCCTAATGACTGGTGCTTGCTTGCTTTTTATTTATAATCAATTTCGAAAAGCTGTATATTCACTGAGATTATTCTATCATTATGGAGACTCATCAAAGCTTATTACATTATCTTTTTGGTTTAAGTGGAAAAAAACTTTCATATGAGATGTTTCTTCCTTATCCATATCTTCCTTAAAAGCTAAAGAATTTTACATGAAGCTTGTGTGCACGGGTGAGCATAGGGCCTTTTGCGGGATCAACTTGGTCCGGCCCAACTTGCGTTGGGCTCAATTAGGGTTTCTAGTTATTGATCTTAGGCCTGAAATTTATCAACTAATAATCTCTGTATCTATGTGATGTTTGCTGTCTTTTTCTTCTTGTTTTTGTCCCAAATTGCTCGAGCAAAGGAAGAAGGGAGGGGCATGATTAAGATATCCTACTGCATGATGGCAGAAGATGCGAGATTCTGAATTTCGGACCCATTCAAGTGGTTTCTTTGAAGGAAATCCGATGTTGGGAATGTTTGGTTGATTAAAGCGACATTAAAGACAAACGGCTTTATTTTTTTATTTTTTTAGTACCATATCGATTACAAATGCCATGTGGCTAAAACATAAGAGTGTTAGCAAAAAAATAATTAAAATTGGATTTTAATGGATAAATTATACTATTCATAATTTGTAAATAATACCATTCATTGGACTTTTTATATTTTATAAGGACAATATTAATATATTGATTTAAATATAACTTGTATTACAAAAGCTGATTGATTGATTTGTTATAGTTTCTGTTGAAAACTAGTTTTCAATTTTAAATGTAAGACTGATTTTGTAGTGTAAATTATATTGTAAAATGCTCGGCTACCAGTGTTGAATGTCAATTAGTTTATATATTACTAATTACTAATTGAAGTTGCCAAAAAGTTTGTTCATAACTCATAATATTGTGAATTCAAATCTGGATGTTGATATGATAACGTTATTGTTGGCTAATCTATAAATACTTTTGTAAGTGCTTTTTAAGTCTAGAGATATGTTCTGACCTTGGTGAGTTATTAAGATCCAACTCATTTCACCTCTTTTGAGACCACAGAAGAAGAGGGAAAAAATTGAAGTTTATTACAACTGTTCAGATTTTATTTGATGATAACAGCGACAATAATCAGCTGATTAATCTTATGATCCTAACCAATCAATCAACCTCACGTGCGCCTTTTTCATATTAAAACAATCTCAATGGGGTAGGAAATGTGGGTAATTAATTAAGCCACATAATTGAAAGCAGAAATAGATAATGAGTCATTAATTATGGATAAAGAAATCATTATGTGTCCTAATCAAACAAACAACTAAGTGTGCGTTATATGTTTTAATAGACGCACTCTCTTTTCATTGTGTTTCTTTTGAGTCTGTGTGTGTGTTTTTGTTTTTTTAACTTTTAACCTTTGAAAAAACAAGGCCACGTTAATGCTGTTTCTTTGGTAAGCATCACCTTAGTATCGTCATCAAAACATTAACATTTAAGATAATTAATTGGTGCCACGAAAGGGATGTTTTGGATGTTTTTGTGATCACTACCACATTGACTTTAATTTAAGGGAAAATTCCAGAAAAGGTCCCTCAAATATATGAAATCCCAGATTGGGTACTGGAATTTCTAAAATGACAAAAAGGGTCAGTGACCCAATCTGTCATTTGTGAAATTAAGACCAATTGACAATTTTGCCCCTGACTAAGTGAGTAGTTATTCTCTATACAAATTTAGGTAACACTTACACTGTTCTAGTGATTACAAGATTAGTTGTAGTTAATAATTACAATATTAGTTGTAGTTAATAATAAGGTGCCTGACTATGAAAAAGTGAATAGTTATTCTCTACACGAATCTAGGTAATACTTACATTGTTCTAGTGATTACAAAATTAGTTGTAGTTAATAACAAGACACCTGAATATGAAAAAACGAGTAGTTATTCGCTACATGAATCTAAGTAATGCTTAAACCCTTATAGTGATTTCTTAAATCATTGTAGTGAATGAATACAAATGAGGGCAAAATTGTCAATTCCTCTTGATTTGCCAAATGACAGATTGGGTCACTGACCCAATCTGTCATTTAGGAAATTCCAGGACCCAATCTGGGATTTCATATATTCGAGGGACCTTTTCTGGAATTTTTCCTTAATTTAATATGTCTATAGAATTTTATTATTATTTCTTCTGCGTCGGAGTTCACTCCACAACTAGCTAACAATATTTCGGAGGCTAAATGAAATTGACAAAAAAGGTAATTATGGCATTAATATATTTTTTTGCCACGATACTGTAGCATTAATTGTATGCTTTTTGCTGCAAGCTGTGATATCTATTCTGACTTCCAAGCTTTGATATTAACAATGTCATTATACTATAAAAATATCAATGGGTTGCATAGACAGGACAAGCAATACTTTTTAATCAGAGCCATTTCAACTCTTATAGATTAAAAAAATTATATTGAGAGAATTATATCAATTTAGGTATACAAATTCCGATAAGATTCATAATGAGTACATATGAGAAAGAATTGGAGTGGCATGTACCTCTGGGAAAAAAAAATTATAGCAAATCATTTGAGGTGGTTCAAGTATAAAGAAGATTGTTAGAGGCACTGGTAATGAGGGTTATGAAGTCCTCTAAAAAAGAGTAGAAAATCGAAAAGAATATTTAGTAAAATTATCGAGTATGACCTTTTGCCTAACAATTTATCAGAAGATTTAGGTTTTTTTTTTTTTTGCGTAATAGAGAAAGACTAAGTTCAAAAATTGATAGAGTATAATAATATCATACTCCTCCGATCCTAAATATAAGACTTATATACACACTAATATAAGGGTCTTATATTTAGAACTAGAAGAGTATAATTTATGTAGCTAACTCAACCTTATATGCCTTATTATTGTTATTATTTATTGTTGTAATACTTGAATTTGATAGGTATTACAAATTAATTATGCCCAAATAAAACAATGACGTTATATATACTGTATGGATTGAATAATAACAAATTTAAAAAAGAGCAATTATCTCTTTCATTTATGCGGGAGCTGTGGAAAATAACAATTTCTTTTGCTAATGTCGTTATAATGTTGATAATATAATGAAAGTATGATGTCGTTTATTACTTTAAAAAGCATATATTTGATGATCATGATAATATAAGAGATAGTGTTGATGAGAATAATTCTAAATTCAGTGGCATATCAACAAAATGAATCTGGCTCAACATATCGATAAGTAATGTGCAGATCATGTCTGAGGCATATCTGATATATAGGATATAAAGTAACAAATTAAAGTACATAGTGGTGAATCTAAATAACCAAGATCAGGCAAATAAGTGAGCGAGAATCATCTATCCTTTCTGCTAATAGATTTTTTATTGTAGGAAATCCTGAATGTTAACATAAAAATTTAAAAAAAAAAGGAGCTAGCAAAAACTTTCAACTTAATCATTGATCTAATCTATTAGGGATGAGGTTTTAAGAAGAATTAGTGATTTAATGGGGTGATGTGGCAAACACTGGTATGTTAAAAGTGGCAGACACATGCCCAATTCACAGGGCAGTTTAAACTGAAGAAGCTGCATAAACAATTGTTTCAAGGAAGCAGAGGGTTGGGGTTTTGTTCTATGATAGTACCTCCGGTTTTTAATATATGATCTCATTTGATTTTTATTTTAATTCTAAATATAACACCCTAATCTATTTTGTTTTTCATATTTATTTATTTATTCTTAAGATAGTCTCTATAATAATAATAGTTTCAGCTAATAAACTTGATTAGTAAGGATATTTTGAGAAAGATGATACTTATTTGTTACAAATAACTAACTTAACTTATTTTTTTAATCTACTCAAATTAGTCAACTAGCTCTTATATTTAGGATCGGAGGTAATACATATGTTTGTTTCCCTCAATTGCCAATTCAACTCTGATTTTTTTTAATCAAATAAAAAGAATATTCTTTTAGTTATATTTTCAAATTAGATTATTAATTTTTGACATTAATATAAGTATATTTTTTGGTTAAAAAATTGCACCTTTCATTTATTATATATAGAAATAAACATTAAATTATAAAGTACATATTAAATAAAAAAGAAGATAAATTAGAAAAATTATTAAATTTTAAGATAGAGTTAATAAAAATTAATATTTTTCTTAGTTGGAAGCGCCTACTAAATATGATAAAAAGAAGTAATTTCATAACTATTAGAGGCAGAGTTATCCACATTTTAATTAAAATCAATGTAAAATAGAATATACTCTTAATTGATTTGTTTTGATTGATATTTAGGGGAATATAATCAATCATGGTTGCCTTCAATTCAGCAATACATACAAGAGAAGTGCTCTATTAATGGCAGTTGCCATGTGATGCAGAAAATTAAAAACAGAGAAGCCATGTTGGTCACTGAGCCTATTATCCCCATCAATTATTTAATAAACATATGATTTCGAATTCCTTAATTATTTTGAGCATCTCTTCCTTTAAAAAACAGTGGGTTAAGGTGAAATACATATACATATATGTATATCTTCCAATTTCTTTAAACTGTGAATTTTATAATTCACAGAAAGTCGAAGATGCAGTTGGAAATATTCAAAGATTCTGGGTCGTCATCATCATCATATAGCTCCCTGGCTAAGGTGATGGATGCTGAAGGATTTTTAATGAATCGTTGACTCCTTACAATCTCTGTATATTTTTAATGCGCCATGCTATTACTATCCTGATGACGACTCCATTTAATTTGTTTCTGCATGCTTGTTTTTGTCCCTTTTTTTGCCATCAAAGCATGTTTGGTTTCGCATTTATTTAGGGATCTAACAGCTCCTTTGAAACAAGAAAATGAGATTTTTTTAAAAGAAAAAGATATTATTTGGTTTTGAGTTTATGATTGTTTACAGCCAAATTTCATTCTTAAATTCCGGTTTGAGTAGAAGAAATTTTTTTTGGGTAGATGAATAGAAGAAATTTTGCTTTGCTTATCATTCTTCTCTTATATTTGTTAATCGATCCTCCAAATACCTGCAGTTTGCCTCTTTATGGAAAACAAAAGAGATTATACTTTATGGAAAAAAAAATAAATGCATGAAAATATCAAAAAAGAAAATTTCATAGAAATTCAAGCATCTCAACTTCAAGAAGTTTTTCTTCCTATTTTTTTCCTTATAAGATCCAATTGTTAATACTCCTCAAATCCTAAATATAAGACCCATTTTTACTATAAAATGGGTCTTATATTTAGGACCAAAGGAAGTATATGAGTTGCTCAATTAAGTTAGGTAAATTAAGGAAGTCAAATACATCCGTTGATTATAACAAATATGATATAATTTTCTTAAAATATTCTTATACTTCCTCTAATAAAAGTTAGATCATATTCTGATATAAAAGTAGTACTCCTCTGATTCTAAATATAAGACCCATTTTGTAGTGTAAATTACACTACAAAATAGGTCTTATATTTAGAATTGGAGGAATATAATATTCAATTATATATCAATTTATAAGTTAAGAAAATTAGTTTAAAAGATAAATTAAAAAATAAATTAAAGTGTCTTCTATTTGTAACCAAATCCAACATCTAATTGGGAGGAAGTACTAATTCTCCTCTTGATCACAAGGAAAAAATGCAACTCTTTTTAATTTTTATTGATTTTTTCCGTCATTTTCACCCAACAAAAAAAAAAGCACCAACCTTAAATTAAAAAAAAAAAAACCTAGTATCGTGGGGTCCAGCGACAACTTTTCGGATTGATGCTTATCCACTCCAAGTTCTCCATCTCTCGTGTGTTGCCTTGGTTATTGCCTCCCTCACTTGTCATCCAAATTTTTTATTTCAATTAATTCAATTTTCTTTCATTGTTTTCCTCTTTTGGGTTAGTGGGGTCTCTTCCCTTAGTTATTACCTCCCTCACTTGTCTTTCATCTCAGTTCGTACCATAGAAATTAATAAATTTTGCCATTTTATTGTTATTTCTGATTTGATGCTATTTGTGGTAAAATTCAGTGCAGCATTTCATTTCTTTTCATGGACATTATGCGCAGACCAGGAAACGCAAAATAATGGTAGTAGTGATTAATAAGATACAAATTCAGTCAATTTTTTTTTTCAATGACAACTGAGTCAGTTTAAAATGAGGATTAATAATAAGCAACAGGAAAACCCACACTAACCCCCTTTAATTTTTTTTAACATTTTCGGATTAATAATAAGCAACTGGAAAACCCCCACTAACCCCTTTAATTTTTTTTTCATTTTCATTTTGTTTTAACTTATTTGTCGTATCCCTTACTTAAAAAAAAAACTGTAATTATAATAAGATTTTAGAGACTTTGCATAAATTTTAAACATAAAATCATCTCTTACTATATACTGCTCAGTCTTTAATATATGATCTAATTGTTAAGTTAATTTTTGTCCTAAATATAAAACCTATTTATCATATTTATCAATTTTTTCTAAATTACTCCTACAAATACTTCCTCAACTATAATTAAGTAAATAAGAGAAGAATAATATTATTCGTAAAAAAGATGATTGTAGTGTTTTAGAAAAAACATATCATATTTCTTATCATTAACTAATTTATCTAATTTTCTTAATCTAATCAAATTAGTTAAATAGATCTTATATTAAGAACGGAAGGATTAGTTAACCAAATTGGAAAGCCCACTGATTGCTTAGCTTTTTAATTTTTATTTTTCAATATTTTATTACTGAGCTCGTTGTATCCGGTGAGAAGTGGCCGAAACAAGTGGAGTTAAGATTCAGATTCAACCAGCTCTTAATTTTGGCGACAACGACTTAATTTATTTATAAATTCTAATTGCATTTTCTTTTTTTTAGAACAAATAATAATTAGTGGCAGTGGCACTATGAAAGGCTGCCAGATAAAGCAGCTAAGAAAAGGCGTTGATTGAGAAGTTTTCCTATCTTTGTTTTGAGAAAAAGGAAATGTTTCTTTTTAATCAAATTGGCCAAGTTATATTATTATTATTTTTTTAATAAGAAGTTATCTGAAATTTTCTGTGTGTATGATCTTGGGGAGACCGGAGCCCTGCAAGCCATCAAAACACTGTTAGCTTTTAAGAAACCAAAATGATGATATAAGTTATTTAACTTCGTTGAAATGAGTAATACATAATAAATATACGTATTATGCATACTTTTTTAGAATTTTTAAAATTGAATAATTTATTTAGAAAAATTTAAGGTGGTTTTTTAATTGCAAACCGGGAGAACATTTGTATGATTTTTATATAATTCCAAACAATTTACACTGATTTGAAAATGAATGAGAGATTTCTACAATTTGAGTAAGATCCGATAACAGTTTATACAATTTATTTAAAACAATTTTTTAATCTTCAAGACACAAAAATGTATCATAATTAATATATACTCTCCAAAAAAAATTTATAACATTTAAGTGTAAATATCATCATAGAGACGCAACTTGATCTTAAGATTAAGTCAATTCTATTTTAGTTGGTGAAATTAATAATCCTCTGTTGCGATCATATGAAATAAAAAATTGATGGAGATTTAATTAAAAAGCGATTTGTCCTATTCTATACTTTTCTAACTAAGTTATTAAAAAAAAAAAAAGATCCAGAGAGATGCTATACATTGACGTAATTGATTGTTAATTGTTATGTAAGAAAACATTGTTAAATAAAATTCCCCATCAAAGAGTATCATTTGTAAACAATAAATTAAACAATTTTGATGAATATACTGTATTATTATTTACAATTTATAAAGAATATGATTGGTTAGAGTTTTTACATTTTGTGTTTAATTATTGACATTGATCACAAGTTAATTGAGAAGCGAGTTGATTGGGTCGTTAAACCTTTTTAGAGAAGGATTATCCTCCAGATTGGGCGAGGAGACTTCCCTTGCGGTTTTATTAGTATAGATTATGCAGGAATTTTGATTGATACCCCATAACATTGTGTTCTTGGTCCTTGATGTTGCTTTTATTTTGTTGTATTTTTATTTTATTTCTTTTCATTTGTCTTTGGACCTTGTTCTAAAGCTTAGAGCGATATAGAATCTACGAATTATTTTTGGGTAAAAATTTATTTTAAATTTAAGACTAATTTTTATTGTATTGGAAATGTTAAATATTAAAGTCTTTCTAACACATGCATTTCCTAAAAATTAGACCTGTATTCTTCTTATCAACTCAACCAATAACTTATCAATAACTCTATAAATTTTTGATGGTATTACCGCTCCCACATTATGATTTTTTTACCGTTTATTAATATTAAAGTCTTTCTAACACATGATTTTTTACCGTTTAAAAAAAATAATACTAGGAGAAAAATCTCTCCAAATAGTTTTTTTTTTTACTATTTTCAAAATTTTTCCTTTTTAGTATTCCTCCTATTTTTCTCTCACTTTTTCCTCCATCAAATTTATTATTTAATATTTAAGAAAATGAAATTTAAATTTATACCAATGTATGGTTATGAAATTTTAAGGAGGATGCCTCATGACTTAGTTGGGACCAAAAAAATTTGCTTAATAAAAAAATATTTGACATTGTTTTGGGAATAACTTTTTGCCTAAACGTTACTTAAAGTTGAAATAATTTTGTTTTTACTTTTAACTTCTAGGCTTTTCTTTACATTTAAACATGGCTTTTTAATATATTATACCACTTTGATCTATAAGTCATTTGTAGGGGGAAAAAAAGTTTGATCTTGCATATAAGTCACTTATAAAATTATTAATATGTATTTTTTTTAATTTTATTTATATTTAATTTTTATTTGGAAGCTAGAAAGATGAGAGAGATATGTGAATGATTTATAAATATAGAAAAAAAATTAATAAAGACAAAATTATAAAATGTACTAATTTAATGTATTTCTTAATATTAAAAAATAAATTGCAAATAAATTATAATAGAGATAAGAGAATACACACAAGTTTCTAATAAACTGATTTTTTTATAAAAACCAAAACCAATATTGCTCATATTATATTAGTTGATTTTTTTAATATATTAATTTACTTTTATTTCAATTTCAATTTGCAAGTTGAAATAAAAGTTATTTTTTTATCGAAAGAAGCTGAGATAGAAAATATCATTATCTTTTTTTCTTTTTCAGGATCTTTTCTGTTTTCTTTTGAATCAAATAATTTCTCGGGCCAAAAAAAAAGAGTAATAATAACAATAGAAATCAAATATTTTCTTCTCCGGAGCCTGGATAAGCCTCCGGCGTCCTTCGATTATGCTTGGGATTCACCAGCTTTACTAGTGGCTTGAAAATGTTGCGATCAAAAAGACAAATCATTGATGGCCCCGCATTTTCAATATTTTAATCTTCCTTGTCACACCTTGCAAGTGGCACTGGAGCTGTTGTAATTTTTAACAATGGAATCATCCTCTTTCTCTCTGCAATTTAGCGATTTTACCCATCCAGTCTCTACCACTCCCAGCTTTCTCTTCTTCACAGCACCCAATTTTTCCCCGGAATATCGAGGCTCCAGAAAATGTCAGATTCCGAGGACGAAAAATCCGAACATACTCCCCAATCAAAGCCCACCGCGGAGGAACCTGGGTCTGTAATGGATTTCGACCTCGACCTCGAGAGTTCTTGGCCTTTAGATCAGATAGCTTTCGCCTCTAACCCTATGTCCCCGTTTCTGATTTCCGCCACATCGGAGCAACCTTGTTCTCCTCTCTGGCTTTTCTCAGACGTGGACGACGATAGGCAAGCTAAAGTTGCCGCGTCATCCCTCTCCGATGTCCATCGATTGCTCTCCTGTACGGTTCTTGCTCGTTTTGGATTCGTTGTTGAATGGATTTTGCAGTTTTCATCCATCTTTTGGAGATTTTTTTTTAATTTTTAGTATTCATCTTTTCAAGTTGGTTGCAAATTGAAAAGCTACCAATGAACGGGCTTTAGTTGACCTTAAAATATTAGAGGGTCAACGATTCTATTTTTGCAACGTGTTTTGTTGACAAGGGATTTTCTTTGTCTCTATATTTATGGAAGTTTCGTATTTTCTTTCGATCCCTGCTGCCTTGAAGCTTGAATTATTTTTTGAAACTAAGAGCCTTGATTAAAAGTCAGAAATGAGACAACAATTAGCACTTCTCAATTCAATGAAGTTTGTTGCTTGCCTTTGCAATCAAAGCGGGATTTTCGTTTACTAAACCACATATCTGACTTTACTTGATAGATTCATATTTTTATTCTCCTGTCTTATAATTCCTTTCTTCAGCGTTCGAGCAAGCTGTTATTTACTGAACAGACTATTGTTTATACTTTTTTGTTCGTTGGGCTTTAAATGTTGCCCATATTTTTGAGATGTTACTACGACGATTGCAGTATATATGCATATAGAAATTTAGAATTTATACTGTGTCTGTAAACTGTGATATTGAGTTCGTTCGATCCGGTACCAAAACTTTAAACTTTTCCGGAAAGCTGCATTTCTTCTGACTGAAGTTACTGTTTTCAGGCAATTCGAATTCAGTAGCTGAAAAACCAGCGGAGAATGAGGAGACTGAAAAAACCCGTTCGCGCTTTGTTGCCCTGCCACCAATGCCATTAGAAACCCCAGATGGGTATTGTTTGATTAAAGAAAGGATGACACAAGCACTAAGGTACTTCAAAGAGTTGGCTGACCAGAATGTGCTGGCTCAGGTTTGGGCACCTGTAAGGATGGGGAACCAGTATGTCCTTACAACTTCAGGGCAACCTTTTGTTCTTGATCCACATAGTAATGGACTCTATCAGTATAGAACAGTCTCTCTGATGTACATGTTTTCAGCAAATGGAGAGAATAATGGAATCCTGGGGCTTCCTGGTCGTGTTTTTCATCAGAAGTTGCCAGAATGGTCTCCCAATGTTCAATATTACTCTAACAAAGAGTATCCCCGCCGAAATCATGCTCAAAATTACAACGTTCGAGGAACCTTGGCTTTGCCTGTGTTTGAACCTTCAGGGCAGTCATGTATTGGTGTGCTGGAGTTGATAATGACTGCTCAGAAGATTAACTATGCCCCTGAGGTTGATAAAGTCTGCAAAGCTCTTGAGGTTGGGTTGCTTCCACCCTGGTTGTCCATATTAAGTTTTGTGCTTTGGTCATGTAGTCATGTCAGTTTCATGTAAACTGTGTATGATGGTCATACGTTTTCACGGTTGATTTCCAAAACATCCATGACTTTTTATAGTCATGATGCTAGCATGTCGGAAAATATTCTGTGATTATAAACATCTATGAGATTCATTAGTCACCTGCTGTCAGTTTTCCTGCAGGCAGTAAATTTGAAGAGTTCAGAAATTTTGGAACATCCATTCACCCAGGTGATTTTTTAACTATTAATATTCACATCTGATGTATACTCAAACATGTATGTATATTTTATGGTGTTGTATATCTTACCCCTCTATTCTCACAGATATAACTTGGCAATGCTTTTGAACCAGATTTGTAATGAAAGCCGTCAGAATGCATTAGCAGAGATCTTGGAGATATTGACGGTGGTCTGTGAAGCTCATAAATTACCTCTGGCCCAAACATGGGTTCCTTGTAGGCATCGGAGTGTTCTGGCTAATGGTGGTGGCCTGAAGAAGAGCTGCTGCAGTTTTGATGGTAGTTGCATGGGGCAAGTTTGCATGTCTACTACTGATGTTGCATTCTATGTCATTGATGCTCATATGTGGGGCTTCCATGAAGCCTGTGCTGAGCATCACTTACAACAAGGTCAAGGAGTTGCTGGGAAGGCATTTTTGTCTGGCAATATGTGCTTCTGTGGAAACATTACCCAGTTCTGCAAAACTGAGTACCCTTTGGTACATTATGCTCTCATGTTTGGCTTAACCAGCTGTTTCGCTGTCTGTTTGCAAAGCTCTCATACCGGACATGATGATTATATATTGGAATTTTTTCTGCCTCCTAAGGTCACAGACTTCAACGAACAAATGACCATGTTGGGATCTATAGTAGCAACAATGAAACAGCATTTCCATAGTCTTAAGATAGCTGCTGGTCTTGAGCTCGAGGAGGAATGTTCAGTTGAAATCATTGAAGCAACGAGTGAAAGAGTTTATTCAAGACTCGAATGTATTATGATTGCCCAACCTACTAAATTGCCACATGGGCCTGATGCCTTGCCAAATATGAGGGAGATTTTACCGCTGGATACATCAGAGCAGCAAATGGTATTCTTAGATGATCAAAATGGTGGAGGGAGTCTTGGTGATAGAGCTGGTGGAATCTCTGATCAGATACCCCCCTTGGAGACTAAAAACATAAAGAAACCCTCAGAGAGAAAACGGGGAAAAACTGAGAAATCAATCAGTCTTGAAGTTTTGCAAAACTATTTCGCTGGGAGCCTTAAAGATGCTGCAAAGAGTCTTGGTGGTATGTTCATGATCTAAATCATTGTTGTTAGCAATTTTTTGTTATATCTCTTCATTTCTATGAATCTGCTGCCAATGGAGATATATATTTATTAAAGAATATGCATCCACAGCATATAAACACTTGCTGTTTTTCATTATCAATAGGTGTACGTATTTTCATATATAATAGACCTTTCTTTTGGGCTGAGAATATGTTGACACGACTTTTTTGTGGCCACCGTGTGGGGTTCAGCAAATGGTCTTTTCAGTGGGGTTTCCCTTGTAGATTTACTAATGTATTTGAAACGAGTCTGTGAACTCACTTTTTGTTTTTCGGATAGGAAAGCTCTTCTCTTTGGAAAATCCTCTTTTATAAATTTCTGTCTTCTTATATACATTCTTGCTGTGCAGTTTGCCCCACGACAATGAAGCGCATATGTAGGCAGCATGGGATATCCCGTTGGCCATCTCGGAAGATTAACAAGGTTAATCGTTCCCTGTCCAAGCTTAAGCGGGTCATTGAATCTGTCCAAGGTGCTGAAGGAGCATTTGGTTTAAATTCCCTCAGCACCAGTCCACTTCCTACGGCTGTTGGTTCCTTTCCTGAGCCTTCAAACAAGTTCGGCCAACAAGCCTCGCTAAGCATTCAACTGGGAGAACCACAGATGAAAGAGAGCGAGTTGGATGCCTCCAAAGTATCAGAAACGAACACACAGACTGAGGTAGAACATCAGTTGGTAGGAGGAAGGGTGCGAAGTCCTGAAACTCACGAGAAAAGTGGGTCCAGTCAGGAGTTTGGTAAAGGCCCTGGAGGACCTAGAACGGGGAGTGCCTCAAGTGAAGATAGGGCAAACCCAACTTCTCATGGCTCGTGCCAGGGTAGTCCCCCAATCGAAAGTTCACCTCCAAAAGATATATTCATTACAACCAATACTGATCAGTGTGTTGTGGCTGGGGGATTGCCGGATTTGCAGCCAGCAAGTAAACTGAATGGTCCGCCTGGGTATGCCATGCCCAACCTTGTGCCCACAGAACTTCAGGAGTCATTTGGAGGAATGCTGATAGAGGATGCAGGTAGTTCCAAAGACTTGAGAAATTTGTGTCCTGCAGAAGCAGATGCCAATGTGGAGGATCAGTTGCCAGAAGCTTGTGCTGCTAATCCTCCAGGCTCTGACTTTGGTCCTAAGCAATGCAACAATACTCTTGGCGACACGATGACGCTTTTCGCAGCTCGGAGAGAAATGAAGACCGTGACTATAAAAGCAACATACAGAGAAGATATCATCCGGTTTCGTATCTCCTCAACATCAGGCATTGTGGAACTGAAAGAAGAAGTTGCCAAAAGACTGAAACTAGAGGTGGGTACTTTTGATATCAAGTACCTTGATGATGATCAAGAATGGGTTTTGATAGTATGTGATGCAGACCTTCAGGAGTGCATGGATATCTCTAGATCTTCCGGTACTAACATAATCAGGCTTTTGGTACATGATATAACTTCCAATCTCGGAAGTTCCTGTGAGAGTTCCGGGGAGTGAGGAGTGGCTGTATATAGTTTTTGTTTGTAGTCAGTTATTTAAAATTCTTGTAGCCATAGGACATGATAAATGCTAGATTTTGGTTTCAGATTTGTTGAAGTTGTAAGAAACTTGACATTTTTATCTCCCAAAACTGATAAATTGACTATGATTAAGTATTCTTCGATAATACATCTAATGCGATCGGCTACAAAGTAAGATCTCCCATTTTCAAGTTCTTGGGATAATTTTGCGAAAAGGGAAAGTAAATACTGAAAGATGGTAGAATAATTTAGGAACAAAAATTATACTACATGTTTAATGTAATAGTTAATTTGCCATTTAATTTTGTCATAAATATAAGATTTTAATTCATTTTATTTCTCATATTTATTCAGTTTCAAAATTAATTAATTAGGTTTTGTAATAAGAACCGGATTAGTGCTTAACTAACCATGTATTTCAGAACCACAACGTGTTGTCTTAAAAAAAATAGAGAACTGAGAACAAAACCATGATCATAATTCCGAGCTGAACTCTCTTTCAGCACATTGTAATGTTCTGAAATGTAATTTGCCATTTCATGTCGTGCCTTTTAAGATGTCATCGTCGACTTTGTTAGAGTCGTTTATATTCAATTACAAAATTGTATGCAAGAACTGATTTTATATATAAGACGGAACCCTTGTCATCCTGACTTCATCCTTCTTCTTTTTCTTTTTTAATATGTAGAGTAAGAAATCCCAAATAACAATTATATTCATGATTGTGATTTGGGTGGCGAGTCAAACAAACGCGCGCGGTTAAGTTACATTAAAGTTCTTGTTTACTCATACACCATAATTTTTCTTACTCTGACGAAATAAAGATCGTGTGCTGTTCAAGTTGCCAGCTTGCCATTTCCCTTGCGCATGTATGACTTTAAAAATTAGACATAAAAAATTAGTCTAACTTAACTAGCTTGAGTTTCTTTTTATTAAATGATCAAACATAATTTTTTTTTGAAAAAACTAATTGACAATCCTTATTATAGTTTGACTCAGTTTTAAATTGGATCCCTATAATTTTTCCCCCCTTTTTATCAAGTTTTTATTGTTTGATCGGTTTTAATGAAAGTCCTCCATTACAAAAACTGTTAGTTTAAGCAGAGAGGGCTTATGTGGCGGGCATTGTCTTCTTATTCCTCAGCTTCTCTCCCTCCCTCTTCCCCTCAATCTCCTTTAAATCATGCGATGCTTTCTCTAAATCATCATCGTCCTGCTTACCGACCTTTCCAACGAACAACCCCTACTCCCCTTCCTCACTCCCTCTCTCCTTCTTTCTCTCTCTCTCTCTCCACTTTCTACGAATGAAGACTATACAATATGCTCCCCAACATTCATAGTGTCAAAATTCTTGCAAGAGTTTCTCATAGCAGTGAAGATAGTAGAAAGAGAGAGAAAGGAAGGAAGGAGAGAGAGAGAGTGACAGTGAGAATGGGAGGGGAGTGAGGAAGGAGAGTGGGGGTTGCTCGTTGGAAAGGTTGGCAAGCAGGATGATGATGATGTAGAGAAAGCATTGCATGGTTTAAAGGAGATTGAGGGAAAGAGGGAGAGAAAGAAGCCAATGCCTTTACATCACTCCAAAAGTGCAATTCACCCAAACATATTTATTTTGTATATTATAAAATCCACCCAAACAGTCCTTTAGACTAACAACGTTAGTAACAGAAAGACCTTCATTAAAACTGATCAAACAGTAAGAACTTGATAAAAAAAAATGATAAAATTAATCTCTACTAGTGACAGAAGATCCTTCAAGTGAAGCAGAAAAACAAAAGGTTGCAAAGAAGATAACTAATCAAAATTCCTCCCTACTCAAGATCAAGACACATGACTCATGCAGAATGAACTTGGCTTGCTTCTCTGAGGAAACAAGCATCGGAACGATAACGAGAGTACAAGTTTGATTTATCCAATGTTTTTCCCCCGATCCATGAGGTGTGATTTCCATACTGGAGAACCCAGAATGAAGGGTAAGAGCATGTCTGGAGCAGCGTTTGAGCCTCTGAAAGGTGACTTGAAAAATGTACGACGAACTTATTGTGTTATTTGCAACTAAAGGGATGTTTGGATTTAAGATGGAAGTAAATGGACCTCTAGGAAAAAGTCACTTTGAAGTGGAAGTTAGAAGTTTGAGCTTCTGTTCATAACATGGAGAGAGAACACAGAAAATAGAAAAGAAAGATAAGGATATTAAGTGGGCCCTATCCTAATCCAATAATTTGATTTTTTTTCCTAAAAAAAAAAAAACTAATTGAATACCTATGATGTACTATAAAACATCAATATGCTAATTTGAATAGATTAAAAAAACTAAATCAATTACTTGATTATATACGTTACATGATCTCTCTAAAATATTTATACATATTGTTAGATTACATACTAATTTATAAATCGTTTTACAACTCATTTCTTTTTTAATTTTTATTATCTTTTCCAATAACTTTCAATTTATTAAACCGACTTTTATAAAGATCAACCCCCACATAAAACATATTACACTAGCTAACTTTTATCCCAATTTATATTTGCAAAATTCAAATAAAATAAGTCACTTTTACCGTCACCAGCCCAAACACCCCCCTTAATCTTAAATCACAATAAAACGCTGGCTGAATTGGACTGAAGAACGAAGCTGACGCAAGAAGTCTAACTTGATCTGTAATAAAACACGAGACCTGCACTTAATCGATAACTGGCTGCATTTGCAGGAGAATTTAAAAAGGGGTGAGAAATGGATTTCAAAAATGTTATTCGAGTTCGACGGTAGAGATGGCAGAGGCCACACATTGTCTCATCTCGTTAATGATATCTTGCACCTCAGAAAAAGTTTGCTCGCCGCATACTTGGCTCCTGAATCTACAGCTCATGCTAACAAACATGCCTCTTACATAAAAAGAAGTTCTCAAGAACTTGAACTCTAAATTTGAATATGAACCTTTAGCTCATATAGTGTTGTAATGGCTCTCAAATATGAAATATATTGCTCACTGGTAAGATGAAGTTTATCCACCATCCCTCTGACAACATTTTTTCCTTCAGGTATATAAATGGTTGAGGAAACAAATTGATATTAACTTCCCCAATACGGTTCCATATCCAATTCACTTTTATATAGTGACAATTACTCTACTAAAAACAAGGAGTACATCCTATTATAGCGGATTTCACTTTCACACAGCAGGTGGTCAAATAATCGACGCTAGGAATATTGAGGAACTTCGGATGCAATAGAATTTGACCAGAAAATCAATGATGGGTAGATGCAGAGACGAAAAAATACATTCCGAGTGAACCACGCTCACAAATATTAGATTGAAGTAAACAAAACTAGACAAGGGTACCTGCCATTCTTAATTTATCAAAACACATGCTTCTAAAAGTAATTAGTCTTCAATTATGAAAATTGAATTACACAAATACTAAGATATCAGTGCTATTACGCTTCCCGTGAAAATGGAAAATTAAGCCTTCTTCTTCTCTCCACCTCCACCAGCCCTGTCACCATAACAGAGAAAATGAGCAAATTAATTATTACAAACAAGTCAACCTACAAAACAAACGAGCCTGTTTGTGAACCTATGGTGGATATTAACACAAGCACATAAACATTAAAAGGTCGTGGGATCACCTCATCTTCCGGAGAACATTGGACATCTCCTCACGCTTCTTCTTAGCCCTCTTGTGAGTGCCTAACCTTCTCTTGGCCACCTTCAATGCTCTTTTATCTTTACCAACCTTGAGAAGCTCAGTAATACGCTTCTCATATGGAGCAAGTCCTGCAACCTCTCGTATCACTGACCTCACGAAATGGACACGCTTGCTTGTTTTCTGCATATACCACTAGAAATTTCAAACCAGCCATACATGGTGTTCGTTGCACAAGATAAACCTCAAAGAAATACAATTGAACAGTAACATTACAAAATTTAAAGATGCAACATGATCCAAAGCCCTCTCAAGCTAGGTCACAATAAACGCCACATAAAAAACATAAATAAAATTGATACATAACATTCTTCTGGACCATCACATGCCTCTAGATGTGAAATATTACGCAACCAGCATGATATCAGTTAATAACACCAAAGTGAAAGAAGCAGTAGTTACGCAAGACTCAACTATCTATATAGAATTTGTGATATTCATATTGGCGTTACAATTGGTAACTCGTTGCAAGTACCAGTACACTTCGACAGAATTAATACTGCTTTCGATAAGCAGAGCAGGAAATTTCATCTAATAACGGAAACATATCATGTCAGTAACAATTAGAGGACCCCGGTGCGATGCTGTATTATTCGCAGGCAATTGCTACGAAAGATAATTATTATCATTTAAAATACTTCAAATTTGAGCAGAAAAGTAATGAACACCTGAGGCATCAAAAATAGCTTACCCCCTTGCGATCTGATGGTCGTGGAGCCAATTCCTTCTTGGTCACCACATGGCCCTTGTTCAACCCAACGAAAAGGCCCGTGCTTGGCTGCTTAGGAGCCATTCCCTGAGCCAAAAACGCGAAGCTTTATTTACAATAACACAAGCCTTCACGGTATAAAAGAGAACAAAAGAGAACACAATAACATTGGTTCTTCAGCTCGACTGATCCCATCAAACATTACTTAATCATAGTTTTACCAAAGAATATTGCAAGCATAAACCATACGCAGACGGAAGTTATTGTGTTTGTATGATGAAAAATCAACAAAGTCGGGCCAAACCCAGAATAAAGTGATGTTCTACATCGAATATTTCCAATACATATGAGCTATTCATTACATCATGAGCTTCTTTGGCTTTCCGGAGGATTATAAGCAACTAAACAACCAAATTAGGGAACCAAGGCGAGAAGAGCTACGGTGGAAATCTTTACCTTGTGGCTTCTGAGAGGGGAAAGAGCGACGACGGTGCAGAGGGTCCGAGCCGAACTAGGGTTTTTCGGAATCAGTATCGATTTTATAGCGAAGCTCTTAGGTTAGCGATGCAAGTCCTTTTTTTTGTGTTTTTGACGGGGTTATGGTCTAATGGACCCAATTTTGAATTTAGGCTTATTATTGATCCACTTTTAAGGTGTTACTCATTGTGGATCTACTTTGTACCCTGCAAAAAGATTGTGGATCTACTTATTGATGACTGGGCTTTTCATGCTCACCACAAAAGTAATCCATTTCCGTTGTCCGAACCCAGGCAAGAGATAAGGTAGTTGGCCCAAAAGTAAACGTGAAAAGCAAGGTAAATGTTGTGAAGTTAGTTAATTTGGCATTTTGGTTTTTTATAGTCTGAATATTGCACTGAGAAGTTACCACGGGCATGGCATCAAAATCAAAATACGAGGACCATACGAGAATTGGATAATTAATATTTTAAATCGGACAAGATGAGTTTTCAACAGGAAAATTATATTCTAATCGGGGCTTTCAATTTGGTTTAGTAACTAGAATAACAAATTATGTTTGCCAACCAAATTAAAAACCAAACCAATTCTTATATTAAAAATATTAAAAATCAGAGCTAGTATTAAGCACAATAAGAGTATAATTAATTGATACTATCTTCGGTTCTTAATATAAAAGCTCATTGATTAATTTAAATATATTAAGAAAATTAATTTAGTTATTTGTAATAAATATGTATTGTTTTTTTCTAAAATATTATTACTAGTCAACCATATTAACTATAATTATTATTATTATAGAACTATTTTTAAAAAATAAATAAATAAAAAATAGATAGGTTTATATTTAAGATTAAATAAATTAATAAAGCTTTTAAATTAATAACCGAAAATAGCATCAATGGTTAATAGTAAATAAAAATAAGTTGATCTACCCTCAAGATTCTCATCAGTCATCGCAAGGGAAACTGGAAATAAAGTGAGGAACTTTCCTTTTTCGCCAACAAAGTGACGAACTTTCGAGATGTCAATTAATTTGGCAGAGGCAATTGAAATCCAACGCTAAACAAAAATCGTGTTTCGGCCTTTCTGGTTTGAAGATAGACTAGCATTATTTCTCTGGGGTTGATCTTGTCTGGGCTTCTTCCCTGTCCATAATGGCGTCCCTCGTCACTGTGTTCTTGCTTTCGCTCTTTGCCTGCTGCCTTGGAAGCTATTTTACGGAAAGGTGAAATGCCCGTCCATTTTTCTCCTGCATCAATTTTGTCTGAGAATTCGAATGCGGAACCTTCCTTTATTCTTTTCCATTAAATTACGTGATCAACTAACCATCTAAATGTGAAGTATGGGTTCCTTAGTTATCTGATTTAAGCTAGATCTTTGTTGATGTTTGTTGGATATGAGAATAGTCCTGGTATGAAGGTGGAGTTTATGTTTCGAAAAAGATTATATACCTATTTCAACGTGAGAATTTCATATTTTTCCAAAATTATACCTTTTTTTTTGGGAAAAAAAACCACAATACTGTCTTGATCACTCTAATTTATAATGTAGGTAAGAATGTCGTTGAAACAAATGTACTTGTTGAATTGTAATCATCGTCATAATAACGTTAACTTTGAAATCCTTGGTATGGAAATTCCATCAGCTTAATCACGACGGGCATCGAGGGTCGGATCAACCCATTTGTTGATATTCTACAGGAAGCTACGTTGCTCATTGATAGAACATGGTCTACATTTAGACTTTGCGTATCGGGATTACGTTAGGAAGGCTGATAGATTAGCTTAGTTTGTTCAGAGTATGTCCAGTCATAGCTGCATCTTTAGTCACCCTTCCCCTTGGTTCATCGAGGAGGAGGAAGATGAAAGAAGTTTGCGTTTTGTAGAAGATCTTTTGCAAATCGGCGTTGATTGAATGAATCATCTTCACTCCCGGGGGGGGGGGGGATCCTTGGTATGGATGTAGATCTGGAGATGCCTGCATGATTCAGAGCACTCTTTCATAAATTTGTTCGTTATGGTTATTCCTTTTCTGATTTTCTGTTTGGTTAAATTCTTATATTATTAAGCGAAAAAAATGGAGTAAATGTATAGGAGATAAGAATGGCTGGCTAAGGTGTTTTTCTTTTTTTTTTTTGTGTGTATGTAACTAACTTGCAACTTGTAATATGTAAATATGCCTATATGTGTTGTGGAATCTTTGGTTTGGTGATATGTTGTCCAAATAGGTGAACCGTGAACCCTTGCCCTGTAAGTTCCCAAGTCAAAGAAAGATTTCTTTCTCTTGCCAATCGTGAACATATTTCCTTCCATTCGGTTATCAGTCACTATTACTAATATACAATGTTATATTGCTTTGTTTGCTTTTGTAGCCGGAAGGAATTGAGGAATAAGGAATTGAGCCAGAAAACTTCCTTACTATTGGACCACTCAATTCATTCCAACCAAATTGACCCAACACATGTTCACCAACTCTCTTGGCGACCAAGGTCAGGTACTTTTGAAAACTTTTCTCTAATAGTTATTCTCTGATAGGTCATCACTTTGGAAGGCTCTACAGGTTTAAATATACAATATTCTATTTTCTTTAACCTGTTTGTTTATTCCTCCTTTTTGTGCCTTTAAACTTTGCTGTTGCCCCTTGTGCTATAGGGTCTTTCTCTACGAGGGTTTTTTGTCAGATAAGGAGTGTGACTATCTTATTTCTTTGGTATTATTCCCTTCTGTTAGTTAGCATGTTGGTTCCTGACGCTTAGGCGAGACTTTGGATTTATTATTTATTTTTCTTAGGCACAAACTGTGAAAGAAAAATCCTCAGAGAAGGATCATCATTTAGAGGGAGATGCGACAAACAAGAAGCTTACCTCAGAAACTTTGTTGACTATGGAAGTGAGTGTGAACTTTTGTTTATTTAGCCTGGAAGGTGCTTGTTTTTTAAATTGTCAAATTAGGTTCTATTTGTAGTTATATTTTGGGTTGTGCTTTTCATGACTTCAAGGCTTTGAAGATTTTGCATACGAATGGATAGTTTGGTGGTTTTTGTATGTTTTTGAATTGTTTTATCGATGGCAAAGTGTTTTATATGTGTTTAAGGTAAGCCACTATAAATTCAAAATGGATTCTCTTGTTTTAAGAATCTATCAACTGGTTACCCCTGTGTGAACCATTGCAATAAGTGTTCTTTTTGAACGTGCTACTATGTAGATCTCTTGTATCTTATTCTTTTCATTTTATCATCTGTGGATACTTTTCATTTTTCTTATGCTTTCCATTGTTTTTTTTTTCCATCTATTTGCAAATATGGCACCTTTCTAACTTTAATAGTCACTTCTAGTTTCCAAGTGGAGCATGTATCAAATATTCATTGCACCCCGAGTTTCTGTTTTAAAATCTGTATACCATCTCTTATAGTCTGTAGTGTATTCTCCTTATAAACTTTCCGTCCTTTTCCTTCCCCATCTTTTCCCATTGTTATTCTTTTTTTTCACTGTAGGTTACCTACGTTAAATAATGAGACAACAGTCAATTTCTATTTAGATAAGAACCTTGCTTTGGTTCTTGGCCTATGGAAAACGTAAGAAAAATGTATGTAATGGATATGTTATATAAACATTTGGCTTTCAGGGATAAACAGCAACCAAAAGTGGTGCTATCTATTGACTTTAATTTTATGAGGTTTTCCAAGATATCAGCGAGGGGAACTTTCAATATCAAACTTCCAGAACCAGCTTGAAGATTCCTGTTTTTAAATATGCAAACTCGTTACCTAGGACAATTTAAATGCAAACTGGGAAATGAAAGCAAGCATTGTAAAGTGCGTACGTGCATGTATGTTTCTTTCACACGGCTAGCAGTCCTGCTGCCCTTTCATAACTACTATTAGAAGTTCTCTTGTTCTCTTATTATGATATTTTATGGGCTTTGATCTTTTACATCATGTATTTTGAAATTACTGCAATAGAAAGCTTGAAATGTTCTTTTTTTTTTTTAAAAAAAAAAAGGAGGAAAAGTGGTCTTCCTTTTTGCTGCACTTTGCCAATCCAACCAAATTGCTTGTTGTTTTAAGCTCTTATTCTCAGCCACCTATCGTCAGAGACACAATTTTCTGGGTATGTTGTGGTAATGTTTTTACATTGTTTTTTAGGATGATATGTTGCAAGGATTAGCAGAAAGAATCCGCGCTCTGGACTTTCCTTCCTAAAGGTATCACTCTCAATATTGTCATTCCTGGCCAGAATTTATCTGCCCGTGACTTGTGTGATGCACATTCTAATGTATAGTTTTTCACTTGATTTCATGATAATAATTTTTACCATAGAACAGCAAGCGTATGCGGGTCATGTATTATGGACTTGAAA